CCCCCCCCCCCCCCCTCGTGGTACGTCTATTTCCCCTCGGGGGGTTTGATTAAAAAAAAAACGGTCAATACGAAAGGAAAAACTCACCCCGACGATGGAGCCGGTCGCGTGTGTGCAGTGCACTAGAACGTTCTTCTTCGTGACGGGGTCGACGCCCCTCTTGGCTAGTCAGTCGTCGAAGTACGCGTGGCAGCTCTTGTACACTGAATGCAAGTAATTGAAAACGGCGAACGCGGCCTGAGAGGCCGTTGAAGGAAGAAAGACCATGCATGTCTCCGGTTTGCGAGAGAACAAAAAACATGGCGCAATGTAGTCTATGTGTGTGTGGACGCGCACTAGAAAAAATTACTGCCAAAAACGTGGGTTCTAGAGCGATAAGCGTGTAGCTGCGGACAATAGAATGCAAGCAAGCGGCGTTAGTCTAGCGGTTGCAACCGGCGGCAGTATAGAGGGTAAGTTCGAAGGGCAGGGAAGAGAAATATCCGAAAGCTCGGTGGGAGCACCTACGTCAGACGACAGAGACTTGCCTTTCTTGCCGGTCTTCGGGTTGATCTCTCCAGTCGCCCACCCGAGAGAGAGAACGTGCTCCACAGGAACCTTGCAGATTTCGTAGGCGATGTCGGACTCTTCTCCCTCCTTCTTCTTGTCTTTGCCAAACTTGTTGACCGTGAACTGGCAGGACGTTGGGTCGTCTAGCTTGTTTTTTGAGCACCAGACGAACGGGCGCCCGTTATTGCGGCACTTGTAGACGAGGGAGGACTTGCACAGAATGCACATCCGGCCTGGGAAAATCTCGGCAGCATGCTTGAAATCGTCGCCAGACGCACCACCGTCAGAGGTGTGCCCGGGCTTGGGTTTCTTGTAGGGGGGGTTTTGTTCCAAGAAGCTAGACATGCCTCGAGCAGTTGCGGGAGAGAGAGGTTGGTTGTGGCGCGAGAGGTTATTGTGCGGAACGGTTTTTGCGCGTTTGATTGGGGAAGGAGCCGTAGACTTCGTAGACGCGATTTTGCGCGCTCGCTAGCGCCTCGCCACGGGCGCCCCTACCGCGAGGCGCGCACCGGCAAGGCCCTCGCAGCGCTGGGCTACCGGCAGTCGCAGGTCTCGCGTCGATTCGAGGCCTAGTAAGCAGACTCAACAGCGGAGACAGCGGAGAAACTGTGTAATTCAGCAGCAAAAGTACATTCAGCAGGAAAAGAGCCAGCTGGAGGGATTATGTAGGGGCTGTCGCCCCGTCGCCCAAAAAGACCCCGAAAGCCGAATGGCCTGGTCGCTGTTAAGATTTGCGCGTTTGATTGGGGAAGGAGCCGTAGACTTCGTTGACGCGAATAGTAAAAGTTCTCCCGAAAACAACCTTAGAGATAGTAAAAGTTCTGACGAAACAAAACAACCTGTTCGTACTTAAAGAACCAATCACTCACCCCAAAACAACAATCAATCAAAAGCGGAGAAACTCTGTTCAAATGTGAGAACTAAGTCCGTCGGGAAATTATGTAATTCGCCGAACAAACTCCGTCGGGAATTATGTAATTCACCGTCGGGAAATTTTAATATTTATTGTTTACGTACACAGACTTAACAGCGGAGACAGCGGAGAAACTGTGTAATACAGCAGCAAAAGTACATTCACCAGGAAAAGAGCCAGCTGGAGGGATGATGTAGGGACTGTCGCCCCGTCGCCCCAAAAGACCCCGAAAGCCGAATGGCCTGGTCGCTGTTAATATTGCGCGTTTAAGTGGGGAAGGAGCCGTAGACTTCGTAGACGCGATTTTGCGCGCTCGCTAGCGCCTCGCCACGGGCGCCCCCACCGCGAGGCGCGCGCCGGCAAGGCCCTCGCAGCGCTGGGCTACCGGCAGTCGCAGGTCTCGCGTCGATTCGAGGCCTAGGCGCGGAGAATCGCAAAAAAAGAGCTCTAGGCGCACGAGAGCGCCTCTCGGCGCCCAGGATGAAGGTATCTGTGTGCACACAACAAGACATGTACAAACTACCGTGCCCCGTGTGCGACACGAACGTCGCAATTCTAAGGCCACGCAAGGCCACGTCAATCCACCCGGCGGTAGAGACGGCAAACGCTCAAACCTTAGATCCGACAACGTATGGATCTACAGCAGCAGCAATCTACTGTAATACTCGGAAATGCGGTCTTGATGGTCTACACCAACTGTTTTACCCACTTCTTCTGCTGTGGCAGGCATCATGTCGGTTAGGTGGTGGGTGTTCCCTACTTTCACTGACTGACTCAACAGGCCGTAGTCCTGCTACAACAGAGTAGTCCTGTGCTCTAAAGAACTGTGGAACCCGAGTTCGAATCTCGGACTGGACACCATGAAACGAGCCGTTAGCACGTAACGTTATTTAGTTGGAGGTCTAGCTAAATAACCAGTAGATATATAAGATTGGCACGCTCGATCCATGTATCGCTTGTGGACTAGACTATACTACCTCAAAAAGTTCATCGCCCAACCTTGCGCCTGACGACAAGCTCTTGTACTCTATTATTCTGGTCTGTTTGGCTGCTTGTATATTATTGTGGATATACTCCGTAGTAGTACCAATCGACGGTGGTACACATACATACCCCCCCGTCGCCCCACGAATAACATCGTACATATGATGCCCCCCCCCAACTTCGGCGAAAAACCGTCAAATTTTTGTCGCATGCCCCTGGTGATTATTTTTTCCAAGAACAAATTGTCCCCTCCTATAATCTGTACTCCCGGGGCAGCAGCCTGTCGGGGATTTGTTTTCGGGCGATTTTTCGCTACAAGTACTTTATTCTCTCACCAAATCACAACGCGTCAGAGCTGACGCGCCCAGAGTCTCCGTGTTTGGGACGAAGATAACATCATTGTGTGCTGAAGGCAATAGCGACGAATCGTTGTCGCTGGAGGTGATGTCTTTAGTTCGTCGTCTGGCTCCCTCTCCTTCCTGCGCCAGTCCCTGATGAGTTTGGCACCGACGTTGAGTACCTTGCCAGCTATCCATGTAGTAATCCAGTGAAGCGCACAACCACAAGCGTTCACCTGTTATCGTGGCAGTTATACTTTGCGGTTGCAGGCACCACTCTCAGCTCGAACGGTATCGGGGGGTAGTCTACTCTCTAGAAGACCGACCATTTGTTGTACTTTATTGTGTGCTTGTAACCGGAAGGGGCAAGGGCTCCGCACGTGCTGCCCTCCTTCCTTTCCTCCCGAATGCTTGCTCGCATAGTCTATATATCTTGTCCATAGATAGGGGGATCACAGCAGTGTGTGAGTATGTGTCAATATATTGCTAATAATACTGTTTCCCCCAGGAGTGATTACCCCGATGTTTTCACGGGAAAGAAACAAGCTTAGTCCCCTGCCGCTGTCTCTCCCGCCCTTCCCGCCGTCGCTACCTCTCTCTCTCTGTCGTCTCATTGACGAACAGACATGCTCTCGCGCTGGATGGATACCGTTGCTTGAAGATGAGGGCGACAAAAAACAAGTCGTGGCTGCGTGTCACGCGTGAGCGAGAGAGCTAGGACAGTGAAGTACTCC